CTGCAGATGCTGGAGTTAGAGACAACACAGTGTGCAGCTGGAGGAACACAGCAGGCCAGGCAGCATCAGGGGAGCAGGAAAGTTGATGTTTCGAGTCGGGACCCTTCTTCAGAAATGGGGAGGGGGAAGGGAGCTGGGAAATAAAGAGAGGTGGGGTTCTCCAGCCCCATCCCTCCTCTCTCTAATTCCCAGCTCCCTTCCCCCTCCCCATAACTATTAGCTATTCCCTGATTTGTTTTTCATTTTATACATTTTTTTCCCTCTATCTCAACCAGTACAATGAATTTCGAGAATCCTTTGAAGGAGTAATTCTTTCACTTGCCAACAGTGCTCCTTTATGTGTCCAAGTAGCCAAGATTCAATAGTGTGCTGCCTCAGGCATAAACAGAATGGGTGGTCAAAATGTGCAGAACAAATGTAATGCAGTGATTGTAGGAACTGCAGATGCTGGAGAATCTGAGATAACAAGGTGTAGAGCTGGATGAACACAGCAGGCCAAGCAGCATCAGAGGAGCAGGAAGGCCGACGTTTTGGGTCTGGACCCGAAATGACAGCTTTCCTGCTCCACTGATGCTGTCTTTATATCAGGTCTTTTCATAAACTCGGGACATCCCAGAGTGCTTTACAACCAATGCAGCTCATTTGAAGAGATAGTAGGAACTGCAGATGCTGGAGAATCTGAGATAACAGGGTGTAGAGCTGGATGAACACAGCAGGCCAAGCAGCATCAGAGGAGCAGGAAAGCTGACGTTTCGTGCCTCGACCCTTCTTCAGAAATGGGGGAGGGGGAAGGGGTTCCGAAATAAATAGGGAGAGAGGGGGAGGCGGATAGAAGATGGATAAAGGAGAAAATAGGTGGAGAGGAGACAGACAGGTCAAAAAGAGGTGGGGATGGAGCCAGTAAAGGTGAGGAGTTAGGGAGGGGATAGGTCAGTCCAGGGAGGACGGACAAGTCAAGGGGGCGGGATGAGGCTAGTAGGTAGGAGATGGGGATGGGGCTTGAGGTGGGAGGAGGGGATAGGTGGGAGGAAGGACAGGTTAGGGAGGCAGGGACAAGCTGGGCTGGATTTGGGATGCGGTTGGGGGAGGGGAGATTTTGAAGCTTGTGAAGTCCACATTGATACCATTGGGCTGCAGGGTTCCCAAGCAAAATATCAGGTGCTGTTCCTGCAACCTTCGGGTGGCATCATTGTGGCACTGCAGGAGGCCCAGGATGGACATGTCATCTGAGGAATGGAAGGGGGAGTTGAAATGGTTCGCGACTGGGAGGTGCAGTTGAACCATTTCAACTCCCCCTCCCATTCCTCAGACGACATGTCCATCCTGCACCCCAATGGTATCAATGTGGACTTCACAAACTTCAAAATCTCCCCGCCCCCAACCGCATCCCAAAACCAGCCCAGCTTGTCCCCGCCTCCCTAACCTGTCCTTCCTCCCACCTCAAGCCCCACCCCTATCTCCTACCTACTAGCCTCATCCCGCCCCCTTGACCTGTACGTCCTCCCTGGACTGACCTATCCCCTCCCGAACTCCCCACCTACAGTCACCTTTACTGGCTCCATCCCCGCCTCTTAGACCTGTCTGTCTCCTCTCCACCTATCTTCTCCTTTATCCATCTTCTATCCGTCTTTCCCTCTCTCCCTATTTATTTCAGAACCCCCTTCCCCTCCCCCATTTCTGAAGAAAGGTATAGGCCCGAAACGTCAGCTTTCCTGCTCCTCTGATGCTGCTTGGCCTGCAGTGTTCATCCAGCTCTACACCTTGTTATCTCAAATGTAATGCAGTTACAGGTTCTCTGCAATACTAGACTTGCTTGTAAGACAAAGAATCACATTGTGGGGAAGTGGGTGCACAGACAGGAGAATGGGTTTGAGACTACAATTAGATCAGCCATGATCTTATCAAGTGGCAGAGTAAAACTTGCAGGACCAAACAGTCTCATTCTTCCATTCAATAATAAAGTGACACATTTCTTCATGGATTCAAATGGCATTCCTCAGATCCAGGAGTAAATAAATCTCAATCACTGCCAGAGATTCACCACAGGTTCCTTGAAACTTTGAAATCATCATAAAATGATTCCTTTTGGATATCTGATAACTTAATGATCACTTGGCTACATTGAATTAGAGGTTGTAATAGAAAATATTTTAAGGATGCAGACTTGATTTGTAAAGTTTAACCAAAGACAGTAATTGATCATAGTATTAGCTCAGGCATGTAGTGGTAAATTCTGCACAGTAAATTTTACATAAAGGAGTATGATTTGAAACATTTATTTGCATTAATCTCATTTGATCTCTGGCTGCTAGGTGATGACGTGTTTCGACCACAATTCAGGTCCTGGACTCGCAGACTGGAAACAAAAAAAAGCACTAAATTTGGCAGTAACTGATAGTAAATTGGTAAATCTAAAATCAAGATTAATTATAGGACCTGCTAGTGTACTGCTGTGTAATAAAGGAGCGTGAGACTGTGGTATTATTGAGCATTTATTTCTCCTCTGAACACTGACTTTTTTTATTGGGGTTATGGTCCTGGGTAAACCAGGCATCTCCAATGCCATTACAAAGATACTAACATTATAGGCAGGAAATTACTGTTAAGCATCCTCGCACACAAAATACACTGTTCATTAACAGAACTAGTAGCCTCCTAAAACCTGCTATTACCCTCAATCCCTGTACAGCCATCTTAGTACTTGCTGAAGAAAAGAGAAACGCTTCACAAAGCATTTGACAAGATGCCACATGGTAGACTGGTTAGTAAGGTTGGATCACACGGGATCCAGGGAGAGCCAGCCAAACTGGGTACAAAATTGGCTTGAAGGTAGGAGACAGAGTGTAGGGGGCAGAGGTTGCTTTTCGGACTGGAGGCCCGTGACGAGTGATGTGCCACAAGGATCGCTGCTGTGTCCACTGCATTTTTCCATTCATATAAAATGATTTGGATGTGAATGTAGGAGATATGGTTAATAAGTTTGCAGATGACACCAACATAGCTGGTGTAGTGGACAGTGAAGATGATTATCCGAGTACAATGGGATTTTGATCAGATGGGCCACAGGCAGACAGGTGGCAGATGGAGTTTAATTTATAAATATGTTAGGTGTTACATTTTGATAAGGCAAATCAGGGCAGGACTTGTACGCTTAATGGTAAGATGCTGGGGAGTGTTGCCGAACAAAGAGACCTTGGGGTGCAGGTTCATAGTTCCTTGAAAGTGGAGTCACAGGCAGACAGGGATGGTGAAGGCGGCATTTGGCAAGCTTGCCTTCATTGGCCACAACACTAGTATAGGGGTTGGGACATCATGTTGCACTTGTACAGGACATTGGTGGGGCCACTTTTGGAATACTGCATACAATTCTGATTACCCTGCTATAGGAAGAATGTTGTTAAGCTTGAGGGTGTGCAGAAGGTTACAAGGATATTGCCAGGGCTGGAGGGTTTGAGCTATAGAGAGAGGCTGAATAGGCTGGGGCTATTTTCCCTGGAGCATTGGAGGCTGAAGGGCGACCTTATAGAGGTTTATAAAATCATGAGGGGTATGGATAGCGTGAATAGCTAAGGTCTTTTTCTCAGTGTAGGGGAGTCCAAAACTACAGGGCATAGGTTTTAGGTGAGAGGGGAAAGATTTAAAAATACCGGAGGGTTAACTTTCTCATGCAGAGGGTGGTGCGTGTTTGGAATGAATTGCCAGAGTAAGTGGTGAAGGCTGGCACAATTACAATATTTAAAAAGGCATCTGGATGGGTATATGAATAGGAAGGGTTTAGAGGGAAATGGGCCAAATGGCTGCAAATGGGATTAGATTAAGTTAGGATATCTGCTCAGCATGGACAAGTTGGACTGAAGGGTCTGTTTCTGTGCTGTATATCTCAATAACTCTATCTTTTGAATCCCTACCTGTCCCACTACCACCATTCGCCTTACTTCAGCTCTTCCCTTTTGGTCTTTCCCCTCTTCTCCCCTTTCACCGGCCTTTGTAAAACCTGTTACTAAGGATGACCTTCTGCAATTATGCCCAGCTTTGATAAGATCACACAGGGTACAGTGTACAAGGAAGGTCAAACTCATTTTATAGGGGACATTCTGAAGGGTCACGAGCTTCATTCCTCAGATGAGCATATCTTGAGCAGCACTGGCCAAAATCTCTGGAGTTTAGAAAGAACAAGCAATCTTCTTGAAACGTACAAAGTTAGCAATCATGGCTGCGTAGATTCTGGGGGACCAGTTCTCCTGGATGGAGAATCCAGATCAAGGAGTCATAGCATAGTGTACAAGGTCAGCTACTTCAGACTGGGATAAGAAGAAATTTCTTCACTCGGCGAGTTGAGAATTTTTAATGTCAAAAGGCTGTAGATGCTTAACTGTTGAGTATGTTGACAAGCAAATAGACTTTTGGGTAGGGTGGGGAAAAGAAAAAGAAAGAAAGGCTTGAAGGGGCTATTCTTGTTCCTAATTTCCAAAGTGAAAGCTGCCATGGCCCCAGAGGATCATTAGAGGGAGAGAGAGAGATGACCGGTGACAATTATAACCAGAGGGTCAACATGCCACAGACAATGCGCGAGGTTGAAAAGATGAGGCATGATCTCAGGCAGTGCAGGAATTGAACCCACACAGTTGACATCACTCTACATTACACACCAGCTATCTAGTCAACAGACCTCCAGGTTCAGATGTCAATTTCAACTGCAAATGCTTTGCTTCACTGTCAATGAGAATGTAAAAGGCAGGGGGTCAGATCAAAGAAAATTAGAGTAAACGTCGAAGATTAGCCACGATTTTACTGAATGACAGCGGTGGTTTGAGGGGCAGAGTGGCTATCTCACCCTTTATCTTCTGTTTTTAAAAAGGACAAGGGAAAGTATGGACTATCTAACAACGTGATATTGCAAAACATGTAGCAAACAGGCCCTGTAATGTAAGTTTTTCAAAATGATTGGAAGTCACGATTTCAGGACAATGGTGTCTAAGCAAAGTGAAAGATTCATTTACCTTCCTCAATGTCATTCCTGGAGGAAGCCTCTAAGAGCAGAACATTTGGGGTGAAGGAGACTCGTTGGTGATTCCCTGTGTTTTTCTTCTTGTCAGTTTTCCTCTTTTTATTCTGCATCTCTTTCTCATACTGTGCCCATTTTTTCAGCTGTTGCGCCCTGCGTTTCTTTGCAGCCCTAAGACGGTCTGGGGTGGGCAGCCTCTCCAGGAACGGGAGTTCTGTGAGGAGGTCCGTATGAGTCGACATGACGAAGTGAAGGATCATCCACTGGGGAACTGAAGGGATCAGGAGAAACAGAGAACTCTGCGCACTTATCCAACCTTTGATATTACTTGTGGCCGCACTCGGTGCAGGGGGACAAACCAGAAGTGAATCTGATCCTCGCCATTGCCTTACCCTGCATTATGCAAAAACAAAATCAAAAGGATTAATTCTTTCAGTTTAGTATATTCAACATAACACTGCAGAGAACAGAATCAAAATGAAACAGAGCAGGGAAGTAGGTTACATTACAAATCATCTGTGCCACATTGCAAAACCATTCTCGAGTTTAACTTGCAAATGACCTAAAGAGGAACATTCAGGCTGCCCAGTGGCTCATTTGGTCAACTCCATTGCACAGCAAGATCCAAATAACAGAGCACTAAGCTCTTGGGTGCAAGTTTCAATCTACCCTGGATTTACTGGGAAGGAAGAGGCCTGGCAGAATTCCCATTCGGTCCAGACCTGAAACGTCAGCTTTCCTGTTCCTCTGATGCTGCTTGGCCTGCTGTGTTCCTCCAGCTCCACACCTTGTTATCTCAGACTCCAGCATTGGCAGTTCCTACTATCTCCCATTGCCTTCTCCGGGTTAATGTTTCTTCATGGTCATTGGATGAGGACAGAATAGAGGCACATCAATCAATCAAACTGAAAGGATCCTAAAGGATCTCCGATCTCTTGGGAAAACTACCAGCTTCCATGTAACAATTTTCTATTTTGGATCATTGTTGGCAAGAAAGGAAAAACTCAAAACAGCTGTGATGACAAATTGAACACTAATAACAATGGAACAACAAATTCAACATGCTCCTGGCTGGCATCCCACATTCAACTCTCCGTAAACCAAAAATCATCCAAACCTCTGCTGTCCACGTCCTTACTCGTACCCAGGTCCCATTCACCCATTACCCTGATGGGGATCAGCTCCTGATTAAGAAACACCTCAGTTTTAAAATCCTCACGTTTCTCCTCTCCAGCACCCACCATCACACCCCAAAAGATCTGCCCTCCAAACCCCACGACCTACCTTTTTTACCTAACTTTCAGACATTTCCCTAAATATCTCACATAGCTCAACAATTAGGAATCATTAAGCAGGCCATTTGGCCCCTTCAGCCTGCTCAACCACTCAGTAATCACTGAATCATGGGCAGCACGGTGGCTCAATGGTTAGCACTGTTGCCTCACAGCACCAGGGACCCGGGTTCGATTCCACCCTCGGGCAACTGTCTGTGTGGAATTTGCACATTCTCCCCCTGTCTGCGTGGGTTTCCTCCTACAGTCCAAAGATGTGCAGGTTAGGTGAATTGGCCATGCTAAATTGCCCATAGGGATGTGTAGATGAGGTGGGTTATAGGGGGATGGGTCTGGGTGGGATGCTCTGAGGTTCGGTGTGGACTTGTTGCACCAAAGGCCCTGTTTCCACACTGTAGGGATTCTCTGGTTGATCTGATTGTGCCATCAACTCCACTTTCCTCTCTGCTCGCTGCCCAGCACTGCCAAAGCACCTTGGGACATCTTGTCACATTAAAAGGAGCTATACAAGTTCTGAAGAAGGGTCACTGGACCCAAAGATTAACTCCGCTCTCTCACCACAGATGCTGCCCAAACTGCTGAGTGTTTCCAGCAATTTCTGCTTTCCAGCATCTGCGTTTCTTTTGTTCAGCTACATACAAGTATGTTGGTGTCAATGCTTTGCAAAAAAATAAATGCAGGCTTTGACTTGCTTGTTATTTCACAGTTTGAGTAACGATTACAGCAACAAGTTATACTCAAATAGTGCCCCAAATAAAACAAAACAACCCAAAGCACTGCAAAGAGTAATACAAACCAAACTACACTATTGAACTACATAAGATGATAGTGTATTTGATGGCTAAAGTCTTAGTCAGACAGATAGGCTTGAAAGTAGAGTCTTAAAGTGGGAAAGTGAGAAAGTGAGAAAGTGAGAAAGTGAGAAAGTGAGAAAGTGAGA